TTAACGCAGTCGTTTATGAGTTTTAAATCTGCGCTGGCACAGGTTAGGCTGGTGTCATCGGCATACATTCTAGGTTGTGAAAAATGCAAGCAATTAGGTAGGTCATTAATATACAGTTAAAACAATAAAGGTCCAAGAATTGTTCCCTGGGGAACACCACATGTAACTAATTTTGGGTTTGACATTGAGCAATTAATTTGGCAAGTTTGGGTACGATTGTTTAAATACGAAGTAAACCATTCGTGACATGAACCGCGTAATCCATAATATTGTAATTTCGCAAGAGACTCTTGAATTTCGTTAATAAGATATGATGATCAACTGTGTCGAAAGCCTTTTTTAAGTCTAAGAAGACAACGGCATTGACAAGGCCACGATCAACGTTCACTGCCCAGCTATCGGTAGCTTCGAGTAATGCGGTTACAGTAGAATGTAAAGAACGAAAACCAGATTGGTAACGGGATAGAATACGATTCTCAGTAAGATAGTGATACAACTGGTCGTAGACTACCCGTTCAAATACTTTGGCCACGACTGGGATCACCGATATTGGTCGATAATTGGTGGGATCATTTCGTTTACCAGAATTTTTATACAATGGAGTAACCCTAGCCGACTTCCACTCATCGGGAAAAATTCCTGTCAACAGTGATTGATTAAATATTAAAGAAAGAGACTCGGCAATTAGATCAGGGCACTCCCTTAATAATTTAGCTGATGTACTGTCTGATCCAGTGGCCTTTGATTTACAAAGTTTTGAAAGGAGAGAATAAATATGAGCAGATGTTATTTCCTTGAAGACAAACTCTTTAGAAGTTCCACAAAGAATCTCTTTGTAGGTGGTATCAACACTCGAAACATTTCGACTAAGCCTTGGTCCAATCTCAATGAAGAAAGTGTTCAACAATTCAGCAACTTCTGCTTGATTGCTCGATTTTAGTCCCTGATATTGTATTTCATTTATTATTGTTTTATTAGATTTGCGGGAAGTCAATTCATTGATGGTCTTCCAGGTCTTACGTTGATCACCGGCATAATTATTAAAAGAATTATTATAATAGGCCCTTTTAGCAGCCTTGATTTCCTGATTTACTTTATTTTTGACCTTCCGGAATCGATTCCAAGAGGACGCATCCTTAGTTTTAACAGCTTTTTTCTTTAGCCGGTTTCTGAAATTCATTCGTTTTTTCAAATTTGTGGTAATCCAAGGAGACTTGGTGGGACGGGTGCGTTAAGTTTTCACAGGGGCGTGCTTATCACAAACACTTAGGAATGATTCTTTCCATTTTTTCCACATGTCATTAGGGTCGTACAGCTCTTTGATATTGTCCCACGGTTGCGTCGAAACATCATTACGGAAATTATTGCTGTTGAAGTGTTTAGATTGTCTAAAGCTGATCAAATTGATTCCTTTAGAAACAGGCGGGATTGAAATTTTACGGTACGCGTAAACAAGACTGTGATCGCTTATACCCACGTGTGTCACCCCAGAACAGAGAATATTGTCTTGGTGACTGGTGAAAATAAGATCAATTAGGGTACTTGTTGAGGGTGTGACTCGAGTAGGCTCGTCGATATTGTTTTAAGCCATAAATATCGGTAACATTTAACAGAGCCCTTGCATAAATGTTTTCGCTGGACAGCAAATCGCAATTCATATCACCCATAAGATAATGTTCAACATTCTCGGAATCAAGTCTTGCTAACAAGGAGTCAATATTCGAGAAAAGGTCTATAAGTTAATTTGGCGGTCGGTACCACGAGGTAACAACAAAAGGTTTTGAGTTAGGTTTTAAAATTTCAATCGATAAGATTTCTAAAAGTTCGTTATCTAAATCCTCGCGGACTACGTAATTTATATTCGAACGGTTTTCTTACTTCCTATTTTATCGACGTCGATACTTTTTATCTGTTTTATGAATTGATTTAGTACGCGTGTTAGCGACGACCGGAAATACCTCTGTGGTCGCAGGCTATGCGGGTGAATAAATACACGGAAATTCAAGGACCTTTTTTCCAGAGAAATCACATCAACGTGATCAACGCTTTGAAGCGATAGAATTCGTAGACCGACACGTTTCGGAACAGCCCTAAATTTAATCTTTTCTAAGCTTTCCTCGGAAAACATGCGTGGCTTTGATCACGCAACCATTTTTAGTCCCACTTTCCACGGTTTCTTCAAGGAACGCCTGGCACAATGACCCCCTATTTGTGTCCTAAATACGGCGAAAACGCCGGGGGGGGGGGTACTTCCTGAAAAATTGGGTGGGGATGTGCCGCACGCTTCCTGAAACCCTTACCCTATTTCAGACCAAAATCTGTGATTTTCCCTACCCTATTTCAGACCTGATCAAAAACTTGATACCCTATTTCAGACCAGAAGCCCTGGAGCCCGGCGCGTGACCTGAGCGGGTGACAAGCTGTTAATTACGGCAAGTACGCGGTAATTGGCGTAAACGTTAAAAGGGAAACGGTCTTATCGCCAGTTGATGAAGAAGTAGCTAATTCTTCTAAATAACATACCCAATTCAAGACTAGAGTGCACAAACCATATGCTATTTCAGACCAAAATGGTCGAAATTGATACCCTATTTCAGACCAAAACGGCTGAAAAACCATACCCTTTGGCCCGCACATACCTAGTATAGTCTATATATAACAATTATTTACCGAAGTGGAGATGGCTAGTGACTCTACTGGAAGGTATTTACCGAGGTAAATATCCCCAACTAGCCACCGACAATAATTGTTTTAGTATCTACTAAAACAGTGAGATAATTGAGCACAAAAATGATGATTTTTAACTCATTTACTGTTGCGAACTATTATAATTTTGGCGCGCAAGGACCGAACGACCGCGGCGGTCGCTTTTTCTTGCCGACAGATAAAAATTTTGAAGGCATTTGTTTAGCTCTCGCGGGGAAATTTCTTCAAAAGAAGTTGTGAATTCTTTTTGGATTCAAAGTCATTCTGTTAAAAAGACTATTAAATTTAGTTTTAAGCTTATTTATGGACACGTCAACTAAATAAAGTAACGTAAGACTTAATAAGCTTAATTTGCCTTTGTAAACAAAAAACTTTTTAAAAGCTATTTTACTGTCACGCAAGTAAAATGTAGTTAATGGAACGTGACGCCAGTTATCAGAAACCCTTTCATGGCGGTTCCTTTTCAATAAAGCAGTTGTGTATTCAAGCTGCCAAGGTCAGCAAGCTCTAAGATACATTGTATTCTTGTTGTCTTTAGCATGCTAGTACGATCCACAGCATTGGCCAACTTTTTCAATGCACTATTCATGGCTAAGAGTTCGCACGTGCAACGCTGAGCTGTCTTGTAGTACAGCCTTTTCTACTGGCTATGCCAGCAGACGTTTGTCTAGCTATAAAAGCCTAGAACAAGTGTTCAGAGTTATTCAGCAAGGTTAGCGCTCAGTATACGATTCTTGTAAAATTTTTCCCTCCCTCCCTCCCTTTGGAGACGAGGTTTGGGCTTTGTTTTGTGCTATGCGGTCAAATAAACTAGGGACACTTCCCCCAAGCTTGTTGGCCGCGTTGTCGTTTAATATCACCTGCAAACCGATACTCTTGTCCGATCCAGCACGTGCTGTATTGCATTCAGCTCGTAGTGCTGGGGAGATAAGTGAGGTTCTTTGGTCACGCCATCGCCGGAAGTCGCATTAGGCTAACCTAGCGCAAGACAGTGCTCCCCCATTAACGCCAACTTGTCATTATTTGTTTTGTAATTTAGTTATGCGTTTAACATACATCGCGAAGGAACAGAGACATTAACCGGTTTTATCGGAAGAAATTAGACCTCTTTACAGGAAGAAATTAGACCTCTTTGTCGATCTACATAGTCGATTAAGTCCATTCACATTTATTATTGGCTTTTGGAGGGCCAAGCCAACCCTCATATTTTAATTTACAGAGATTTACAGGATCCAATCAATGCTCATTTTCGATTAAAGGAGCATTTACAAGCTTTTACATGTTCTACAGGCCAGATTCAAACCACTACCCTTTTACACTTAACAAGGTTTTACAGGGTCATATTATATTTAGTTTCAGTCCATATTTCTCGATTTACGGGCTGTTTACAATGTCGAAGTAATCTCTTTTTACGAGTTATTTACAGCGTTGAGATGCAATACTTATAAGCTATTCGGCAGGCAGGATGTTGGCCTCGATTGTCTGCACGTTTTTCACACGTTATTTGTACTATCTACAAAATGTTCAGAGTACTTCCTAACAGATTATACAACTACATTTTCCCTGTAATATTCCATTTTTTCAGTGATTTTAATTGATTCATATGATATTTACAAGTAATGACGTTATAATCGAAAAACAGTTATACTGATCTGCACGTACTAGTACACAGCCATCTAGTAAAATAGCTGGCCAGCCGATAAATTACAGTCTGTAGTTTTATTTTGAGACGAACGATTAAAAGAATCTTTCCAAAAGAAAATTCTCCTTGCTCGTAACCTAATAAAAACACCGAGAAATGACAAGAAGATCGAAAAATCTGTTTTTCGTCTAATGGATAGAGTTCAGCGGACTCGATCAATTAGTAAACTTAACAGTTTTGGTTTTTGTTCCCTCTAAAGACGTATTATTTTTGCCTTAATGTACAATTTCCAAAAATTAAATTGGTCCGGAGAATTGAGTTACGTAGAAGGCGAAGTTGAAGTTGTGAATCCTGATCACGATGCCTTAGACTATGAATCCTAAAGAGAAAAGATACTCTAATTCTGAGATGTTGCTATACCCCAGCAAGGTCAATTCACAATAAACGAGAGAGAGAGAGGGATTTTACATATTACATAAAAATCAATGAAGTTCCAGACCATTTTCACTTTAATGGATTTATAATTTTGCTGCGGTTAAATTTTTTTGGCTGCAAAAGGCACGATTAATCATGTAGATATAGCGACAGTGGAACGATTTCATTCGCGCGAAAGTTCACCTGGTGACATTGGTGTTTATAAAATATATCGCAATTAGCGTCGACTGCCAGTGATATTTTGTCCTTCCATGGCAGGTCCAACTCTTCTCGGTTGAGGACAAAAGGACAACAAAGCCTTCTTATAACGCCGGCGATAATTAGGATTGCTTAGTCCATAAATAAATGGATTAACACAAATGGTGATGAAGTTGAGAATTGCTGTGAAATGGTGAAGTGTAGAATCTATTTTCGCTTTACCAGCAGTTGCAAAGATAAAGAAGATTTGGTTTGGGGAATAACATATGAGTAAAATACAGGTCATAATGCCGATCATTCTTGTCATCTTCCCTCGTAGTTTGGCCTTGCTCTCCGCGGAGGCAACTGGGGAGTTGTTTGTCTTCACAATCATATGTACGTATAGTCCAATCATGGAAAGGCATGGAAAGAACAACTTCATGATAATAAGGAACACAGACAGAGACGTGCGGAAGGTAGAGCCTGATGAAATAAAGTTGAATTTGCAGATGTCATTGGATGATGAACTTGGATCATAGACCACATCAAACAAGTCTGTTCCAATGAGGGCGAATGACCAGATCAAACAGAACAAGACGTAACCCATGAGTCTCTTTCCCTTGAAGAATAAGTTATAATTAGAAGGTTTTACAACAGCAACCCATCGCTCTACTGTTAACAGCAATGTAATGTAAATGGAGAAAAACACCAGCTGAAAGAGAAACATTCGGCTCCAGATCACTTGGCAGAAGATCTCTCCAAGAACTGGATTGGTTGGACGAGGAATAAGGTCACCAAGAGCGAAGCCCGGACTCGTGATCAAGAGAATGGCAGTCAGCACATCTGCTATGGCAAGGCAAAGAATGAAAGCGTTGTAGGACTTTTTCAGCAGCTTTTTGTCACGAACAAACACTAGAATGGTCAACGTGTTTCCAAGGATTGCTAAAATAGAGATAACACAAATAGCAATCTGGGTTTCGGTAAGTCTGACTTCCATTTCCTGCTTTCTAGGGGTATAGAATCTACACTGTGTCTTGGGAACTCTTCACATAACAAATCCTACTCTTTGAGTCTTTTTAGTGATGTTAGGTTTTTGAGTCAGTCATGAAGGAGCACTTGTAAGTTTTGCTGAAGTTGTTGATCTAGAACCATGACGAAACCAATACCTAAAGTAACGGATAATAATTCAAAATGTAAACGTTGCGCAGATATCTTACACGTCGATAAAACATTATATGTATAAACATAGGAATCACTGATAAAAGTGTAAAATTCTCCAAACATACTTTGTACAAGAATGATTGTGGCGGGTAGAGAAAAAAAACTACGAACAGACTCAAACGCACAGATGAATTCTTCAATAGAGCACGTACAGACGGCACAACAGTTACTTGATATTTATTCTTTTCAGCTCGATTTGACCGGTATAACATATCCTGACCTAACAATGTAGCACCACCGAGAAAGTTAGGACAGAATAACTAGCTTGGATGTAAAACCCGCTTATCAGTTGCACTATATGCTTGACCTTGATCGAACTAGGTTGCCCGAGGTGTGCACAAATGACGTACATTCAAACGAAGATCATCAAAAAAAAAACTTGCAGAGAAGACCACCCCCTGAGTATCACATGATAACCACGTACCGCAAGATTTCCATGATTAGAAGTTGCGTTGTCGAACGCAACAACATAGACGAGTACAAATAATATCTAACCTATTTGTACTTGGTAGACTGGTTCGACAGATTTTCTACAAACGTCCCCCATGTGAAAAAAAGAATATGAATTTTTCCAAAAAACACTTAAAAGTGAACGTGAGACAAATTGTGAGCTTAAATGAAAAAAAGTTTCTGGAGTAAGGTGGCCTAAGCAACAATAAAAAAAACATCTACTTAAAACAATCGAAATTTACGAACTCCAGGAAAAGCAATAAAGACCGCCTACATAGCTAGAGACCTAAATGTGTTTGCTATATGGAGACAACTAAGTCTCTGAAAGAAATAATTTCCATAGAACAAATAATTTCCCTTGATGAGTAATTGAACAGTCTTAATTGCCGATTCTTTTCAAAGGTCCAAAAGCTCGACAATATATTAACAAATTCGCCAGACGTTTTGTGGTTAATTACGACAAAGACTGCCTTGAATTATCAAGTCTGTTGTTGAAAAATTTACTCCTTGATCCGCTCACAGATCCGTCGGTATGATTTTTTAAAGGAATTTAAAAATTAAGTTTGTTTTAGGTATATTATACAACTATACCCCGAAGGGGAGGTGAATAGCGGTGGCATATACCAAGACGAGAAGCGTCGAGGTATATATCTAGCGCTATGAACCGATCCTGAGGGGGATAGCTGTTTTAGCATTTACCAAATTAGAAGATAAAAATCAAAAAAAAACTTCTTGTCAATAAAAGACGACACTTTTGTATTATATGAACTCTTACCATTAGACAAAATGTAAAACGTCATTTCGTCCTTAAAATTCACTCTTTGTGACCTATTTTTTTCTCTTTAGACAAGATAATAGTCCAGCCTTTTACTAAAAGGATCAAAACATCAAAGTTTTATAACTGTGATTGTCGCCCCTTACAAATAAACTGAAACTGGTCATTCAGAAAAAGAAAAGCCAAATGATAATACCGCTGTATTTTTTACAAGTCAGACGTTTTTAATAGTTAGAAAATAGAGTCCTGTAGCGTGTATACTGGCAAAATGGGATTTACCGGTAACCTAGCCTAATGTTTAACTTCGTTAATCACTCCTCCTAAAAGCTGTACTTTCACGGAACAACTTAGACTTCTTAAAGTTCTTCCTCCTACAGTTTTTCCACTACGACACTCGTGAGGTCAGCTTGTGGTAAGTATGAAACAACTTTTCAATCTACTTTCAGTCTATCAGTAATATGTACTCACTTAAATCAATTCTTTCGAAAACAGAGAACGAAATCTTTAAAGTTCTCTGATTTATCATTTAAGAAAAACCTGAAAAACGCGGTTCTTTCTTCGTCACGAAATTTAGTAAAATTTAGGCAGTAGTCCTGACCTGGCCACAAAATTGAGCGAAACAGATAACCATTCATTTCATTTGAAGGACAGTTTAATGATAGAACAAATTTCTTTGCCAACGTTAAAAAAAATTCCACGAAAAGAGAGAGCAAGTAATTGGAAAAAGGAAACGCTGAACACAATGGACTGCACTGGCCTGATACAGCCCTTTTACGTAAGGCATAGAGACCTATTAAAAGTCTCTTGTTTGAGATGAAAACGAAATAATGAGTTGACAGTATTCATCCTTAAAATTTGATTTCTGTGTAAGCCTTGTAGGGGGAGAATGGTACCTAATCTCTAATCTGATCAAATATCGAAATCTCGATACCACCGAGAGGCCTTCAGATTGCCAGTTCCGTAAAGTTATTGTTCATCACTCTATCCTTTTCACAGTTCTATTTTTTTGCACCTGACTTAAAGTGTCGATCGTCATATATATTTTGCGTACTTTTCAAAGGACCTGATTGTCCTTTATTTTCTACAAAACTCGTTTTTAAGGCCTTTTAAGAGCATTGTTCCACTCTTTTCGTCAGACAATGTGATTAAATGTGCGTATATATGGTTAACCTTATCAGCAGGACGCTTAAATCTCAAATTTACGCTCCTCTGAGAACGCGCCAGCATACAAGATGGCTGCTAACGAGGGCGTTATAAAAGCAATTGTAATTTTTTACCGAGATGATTCAGGGGCGTCCAACAACGGTTTCTTCCTAAATGCATTAAAAATACTTTTTAGGCTATCCAGAGTACTTTTAGATCTCTAGAAATGCATTTTAAGCGGCGCTTTACAATGTTATCTGTTCGGTCATCCTAGGGCAACTTGAGTCTTTTCGAAATTACAAGGGCTTCAGTATTATTTTCCCGAAAATTTTAGACGCATTTTAATGTATAAAGAAATTAAGACTTTTTTTCATTCTTCTTTCCATCGCATTTTCGAATACTAAAATTTAGGTTTCCTTTTTCTACGAAAAATATCTTAACCTGGGGAGTGAATTACGAAAAATTAAACTTTAGAAAATCGCAGTGTTAGATAAGCTTCGAAACTTGTACGTGGATGGAAAGGTCATCTAAAAATTTTTAGCCTTCCCCAAGCTATAGAAAATTCTAGGCAATTTTTGCTTCACCGAACTGATATTTTACAAAAAACGTTCGTTGGGTGCCCCTGATTAAGATACGGTCTTTCCTAAAAGCCTGGTTTTCACTAGCGCATAAGCATAAGCATAAGGAAATACGCACCCGCAGAATGGCATATTTGACTCAATTCTCCATACCAGCTCTCCTCAACCCAATGATAAACAAGATGGCGGACAATTGCAGTATAGCGCCATATTGTTTTTGATATGTTCGCATGAGGTCTTGGTCAAAGTGACCTATGATTGGTCCACGGCCTTGTGCTTATGCTTGCGCTTATTCCAACCCAGTTTTTACTAGTCAAAGTCACGACATAAGCATAAGCCTAGCACGAGAAGAACGAACTTGTCCGTTTTTCTTGAGCTTATGTTTTTGCCTATGTCGACCCAGTTTTCACGTGCTTACACATGTGCTAGTGCTTATGCTTAGGCTATTGCTTATGCTTCTGCGCTAGTGAAAACCACGCTTTACGCTTTACGTCACAATGTTCTGAAGGTATAAATTTTGATTGGCTTAGAGCTTGGAAATGTTGGACTGTGGCCAGCAAAAACGTTTGTGTGGAGGAGATTAACACAATCCTAGAGAAATAGAGGGCAACTTGTAATGCTTTCAATGGCAAAACTGATGAAAACGTTTGGTAAGGTACCTCTAAATGTGAGTAAAGTCAAATCAATCGACCCAGTAGTCGGTATAAATTTCTTTTTTCATAGCGGAGCTCCAAGCGCGCGCCCTTGTATAGCCCCATATACCTAAGAAAATGTGGTAATCTATTCATCCGAGAAATTTTGGTAATCACGTGACCGTACTTCCGCCCGTCCGTCCGCAGTAGCAGCAGGCATACCAATGTAAAATAACTCTATAAACGGGTATGGCAACGTAAATGCAACTCGAGGTTATTTTTGTGGAAAACGCATAGCCACCCGCGTCTTGTAAAGCAAAGACAACTTAAGAGTCAATAAAGACGACAACGGAAAGCGGAAATTATTTCAATATGTGTTGTCTAAAGTATTAAGCTTAGATTAATTGTCATGTCCACAAATTTAAAAAATAGAGAAAGAGAAAGACAGAGAAAAAGAGAAAATGGGCGACAGGCCAGCGAAGGTCGACGAGAAAAAGAGCGACAGAAAGCTAGAGCGAGAGAAAAAAAAAAGGAGACATTTTTTGTTGGAAGAAAAGCATGAAAATTTTGTAGCGGTGGCGGGAAAATGAAAAATGCTAGCGGCCTCCAAGGGGAAAATTAGGGGCAGGGGAAAAAAAAGTGAACAAAAACACGTACGACATTTTCCTCCATAAAACGTGTAACTAGGAAGTTTCTGGTAGTTTCACGTCGTAGACGTTCAAGACAACGACAAAGAAATGTACAAAAAAAGTGTGCATCACGTGCAAAGTTGCTATTTTGCTAATTAGCCGTACAGTTGTTTTTTCAGCGTTGTCGTTGCCTTCGCCGCTCAGCATTACACGATTTTATATTTTGTTTGAGCAAACCATAAATATTATCGATCGAGACCTTCGCTTTTAGCCCTGGCTAAATCTATGTATCATATATATATAGCTAACTAAACTGGAGTATACATCCCTTCACACACTCACCTACTGCATGTATCGATCGTCCTCTTCAAACTAAGCAATCTGAGCAATTATTGTAACGAACAGCACGCCTTTAGGTGTTTATACATTATCGAAAATTCATCTTCTGATAATCCAGTGCAGGTGGTGGAAAGCCATTTTATCCAGAATTATTTGCAATTCAAGACATTTCTCTTCGAGTCAATCCGGAAAAATGTGGTATTCATTGGGATTGGGAACAGAGATTAGTGGCGTTTTTAAAGTGAAATTTTCTTCGTTTAAGGACAAAATAGGCGACAATATAAAGAGACAAAAAACTTAAAAAGGGGCTAAACATTAAAGATCGGGGATATTAAACATTACTAACAGTTTTAGCCGTTTAAAATGAAGAAAATTAGCAAATGACCAAAAAATACTTGATGCCAAACAATCATAACGTAAGAAGGTGTAAATCGTGACATTTATAAAAATCAGTAGATGAAATCTACTGATTTTAAACTGCCAGGAAAATGAGAATGTTGTTTTTTCGGGCCAGGCTGAATATTCCTATTTTTCTGCCGATTTTAGCCTGAAAATATTCTTGTATTATTCTTGAATTATATAATAATTTAAAGAGAAAGACTTTATCATTTCCTTTTAGCAGTTTGTTCATTTTTTTTTCCTGTATACTATATATGTATTTCATGTACCGTTCATCGAACTGTTATTAGCAATGAACAGTTGGCTATAACCAATGCAGGTTTCTTCGTTTTATTGGGTATAAATTTGATTTGATACGGCTAAGTTAATAACATATCTTTTTAGATTTTCATCACTCAAAATAATCATCCTTTTCGAAATCTCAGCCTCGGGTTTGTTCGTATTAACTACTCTTAAAATTTTGCAAATTTCAGCCTCGATATTCTTATAAAATATATTCTTGTAGAAAAAAAGAGTGTAACACATTTAATTAGAGAGAGGCTTTTTGTCGAGTTACTTTTTAATTATAAGTTCGCACGTCACTGACATCTGTCTTTTTTACGATCATTTGGCTTGAGAGAATTCACCTATTTGAAAGTGATTAAGTTTGTACCGTTGCGTGCGAATATATTAGAATTTTTTTAGAAAATCACCTGAGGCTAGAGTTCCGCTTAGTGACTTTAAAAACGATTTTCAATAAAACAAAGTTTGCCATCACTTTGGCAAAATGTAACCAGAATATTCATTTGCTAGAAAATGAATCTCTTTAACCTTTTTTTTATCTTGTGTTCGGACTTCAATTAAAACAGTAGATTGGCTCGTCGGTCTGGACTGTCTCAAACGCGACTGCCGAAGATTAGCTTAGATTAGAAGCGCTTAAATCACAATCTGTCATTTTTAATGGCAAAATTGAGTGTTTGGATGTGATTGTCGGAAATGAACGCTTTGGGCCTAGTAACACTTAGTCTGAGGAGCTCTTAACACCAAAAATTCACATTAGCACATAACCAACAAATAGTAAAGTTTTCTTAACATTTAACATTAAGGTGCTTGCTTTTAATGATTTGCATTGATATTTTTGCACCACTCAGAAAAAAGCCAATCAATAGATAAATCATAGGAAGGTAACGTTAAATATCAATTCAGTCGTTTGATTTATTAGTCTCGTGTTATTTGAGGTTTTAACAGGAAAGTACCAAGTTCGAATTGAACATACATTGCTAAAATTGGAATTTTTAATAAATGCTCATCAAAATCTAAAATCCGTGCAAATATACATTAACAATTTTTAAGCTAATAAATCAGGATCAGCTTGAAGGTATTGAAAATTCAAATTAAGGAAGGGATACAAACTAAACACAAGTTTAACTTGCTACTTAAAAACGTCAAACGTTTTGCTATCTTGACACTAAACAGGGAGAAATAATTCAGACTCTCAAAACTTGTAACTTTTATAACATCAGTAACTACGATTTTACTTTAAACTACATTTTAAAAATTTAAGTATTGCATTAGACACAGCTTTTATGTCTTAATTCACTGAAACTGATGTTGAGGTTGCAGCTCTGGACATTTTTAAAGGAAATCTATCTCCAAATTTTGATTTAATCGCTACTTCCGTGAAAATAGCCTGTTAAAATAGCCAGAAAAATCCCAATAAACTCAAGCATTGAGTTTTACCGTGATGTATATAATATACTTTTCTGTTTTCTTAATGCTCATAAGTCTACCTGCACCCAGCGGTTTGGAGAATATATACATTTATTATATGGCTGAGTCTGTCTACGCCATGCGATTGGTCAATTTGCGGTCCGTAAATAGAGAATACTTCATGGAAAGTGCTGGCGTACGGTATTTACGCACGAGTTGTTGACGTATCAGAAATCGAACGAGTGAGCGCAGCGAACGAGTAAGATTTCTGATACAAAAACGACTGCGTAAATACCGTACAAAGCACTTTCCATGTGGTATTGTGTTTATTATATACATACTGAGACATTCATCATTTTGGCGCCCTTTTTATTTTAAATCTTTCAAAAATGCTACCGCAAAATGACAACGAAAACGAAGTATCAGCTTTTTAGTAAAAACGTTTGTTAAAAACATAAATGTCGGTAAGGATATGAGGTAATCCAAGAACTATAAGTAATCTTAACTGTTTGTTCTCAATGCACAATTGAAAATGCGTGAATTTAAGTAAACTGGCCGGTTTCAATATAAGCTCAAGCTTAAATGAAAGGCAAAGTAGCTCCGACAAAAATCACAACAAAAGCTTACGTGTCGTTCTGTTTTTCCCTTTCCGCTGTTGTTTAGCCGGCTCTCTACCGTTTTCTTTATCGACAGTGAAACAAACGAAACTATTCCACTCCATTTCCGAAATGTTTTTCACTTTTTTAGCGAGAAAAATTCTTTGAGTAAAACTTTTCTCGTTGAATGTGTGCGAAGCGGCGCTGTAAGCTGCAATAAAAGGAGGAAATTTTGGCGCGAAACTCACACACCTCTGTGGCTTCTGATTGGACGTATCATTTTTCTCACACGTGAAAAAACATGGTTCGCGATTATGATTGGACATATCATTTTTTTCACGTGTGAAAACCATCGTTCGCTCCTCTGATTGGCTTGAACTAATTTGCGTACGAAAATTTAGGACATAGCTTTTTGGTGAGTATTTCTCGGTATGTATATAATAACTTGCTATACGGACCAAAATTTTTAAATAAAATGCTCATCTCGGAGCTCTAAATCTCTTTTCCTCGGAAAAAAGGTTTAAATAAAGTTATAAGATGCCTGTTAACCTTTAGGACTTGGATGTTGACTTTGGCCTTCACCATTTAAACTGTGTTTATTTGTGAACGAAGGCGATGAAGAAACTAACTCGTAATCTTATCGAAGAGGATTCTTGTCAGTGTTTGAAAATTTTGTCGTAGTACACAGTTAAGAAGACGCAAATCGACTGGCAGAGATTCGAGATGTTTAATTTTGCCTAAGGGAAAATGAGTAATTCCTTCGACAAATATGATAACAAACGTACCTGCACCCGATCATCTTGACAAGCTTCTTTGCCATTTGCAGTGTTTTTTCAAAGACCAACGAAAGAAAGATAGAAGCGAGTTCGAGCCAGACACAATGTCCAGTTCTCAAAAGACTCCACCGTCACATTAACGAGTTATTACTTACAGTGCTCTTGGTTTTGACCGAATAAACTTTAAAATATGTCTGTAAACCCTGAGGACTGGGATGTTGACTTTGCCTTTCCAAATTTTAACCTAGCTTTGTTTTAATGAGAACGAAGCTGATGTAGAAACTGAATCGTAACCTTACCGAGGAAGAGAATTCTAGTCAGTGTTTGAAAATTTCAACGCAGATCACAACTGAAGACGAGAATGAACTAGCACTGAGGTTTTCCCAAAAACAATTAACGAGCAAATCCTTCGACAATGACAACAAACGTACCTTGAAAACCTACTTTCCCCTTTGCAGTGTTTTTT